GAACTCAAAATTATCGCTTTCAATAAAAGAAATTATTTTTGGCATTATTAATAGCGATTCTAAATTCTGTTTAGCCCTCAATCATTTAGTCATTATAGGAAAGTATTTACTTCACGTAAAAGCTCTTAACGGTAAATTTTACATCTTTAATGAATTTGTTTCCCTAGCTCGTGATAAAATTAGTCTAGAAAAAAATATTTCTTGTACGACTGGTCGCGAAAAAGATTTCAGAACAAAATGGTCTGTTTTTTCGTCTCTTTTAAGTGCGGTTTGAAATTCTGTTTACTTAACTGATTGCGTTCCCATTTAATTTTAGTTACCACTAATGTCTTTATTGTGTTAGGTTTCTTTTTTGTCAGCTTCAAGTTGTAGTTTTCGTTTTGTTGCAGATTGTCTTTTGTGAATGTTAACTGTACGTGTGTATGTTCAATAAAGTTGTATTGGAAAAGAAAAAAAAAGAAAAAAAAACAAAACAAAAATCACCTTACCTTTTTAAAACGAACATGAAATGTACACAGTGCTTTTGGACCAATTCGAAATAAGATTAGGAAACCCTTCAGGACATAGCATTCCTTAGGGCCAGTCAAAACTACTTTTCATGGTTAACTTGTTTCGATCAACGATGTATTCATTTCTTTCACGCTTTTATATAGCGTCACAGTCAATGAGTTACTAATGATACCTGAAACACATTGCATACTCAAAGTAAAATCTTATAACGACTGCCGGAAACAAACGCCATACACATAAACAGTAATCTCAGTGCGTTCACAGCTCAACTTTTGGCATGGAAATTATTTAAAATTTACTTTAATGGATTCTGTTCTTGTATAACCATTATTTACCTCACAGGTATCTTCTCCCCAATGTAAGGCTCCTGTCTTAGCACTTCCATGATTTTGACTTGTAGAGCTTCGATCTCCTCAATGTTTTCGTCTTTCCCGAAAACCATTGTCTTTATCTTTCTTTGGGTTAATTTTGCAGTGTTGTCAATACTGAAGATAGGCCGCACCACATGTCCTTCAAAGTCCTTACCAGCAATTGCGTTCTGGATTTCTGTTTTCATTGTTGCAATGTCTTCAAATGGTTTGTCTGCATGGGTCCCTACAATGATCACTGGGGGACGTAAATAATGAGGCACGTCTGCTTCTACATCATCACAGGTTTCTCTTCTCATCTGCGAGACGCTATGCACTGTAGACAGCCAAGACAACAAGTTCTCAAGATTTGTTTCTCCATTTGGGTTTTCCAAATCAACCTCACGAGACCCTTGCCTCACACAGGGCTTGGCTGTGTCATGGAGTGACTTACTGAGGTTGCACACCAAGATGTACAGTGCACGTGATGATAAAAATACAGGATGGGATGCACAATACAGGTGTTGTCCAGCAAAATCCCACAGTTCAACACTGACGACAGATTCTTCAGCCTTAAAATCCGCATCTTGTAATTCCTTTATCAACTGAACTGCTCGTTCCCTTATCTCCGCTGGAGGTGAAGTAGTATCAACCAGTAACTCATGATCAGGTCCTGTTAACGTGGGTTCACCAACACTGTCTTCGTTTGGATCGCAAACCTGAAGCAGAGAATGAAAAAAAGAAACATAAAAGAACGTTGATTCTGATTCTGAAAGACTTAACATGGCTGGTTCGTCTTTTGGGGGTGAAGAGGAATAAAGGAGTAAGAATAATGGAATTTTTTTTGTTGTAAGAATGGAATAATGCCATTTTGTGGCGCGGAATAATGGCATAAGCAGATGTTTTCAACGAAATAATTTGTTCTTTTGTTACTGGAATAATGGAATAAGGAAAATTTTCCAGCTGAAGTAATGGAATAATGAACACCTTATTATTCCTCTTCACCCTCCGATTCGATTATTCAGCCATTTAAAGCTGTTTTTGATGACAAAAAAATAAGGTCAAACATTGAGGCACGATTATTGGAGGCATGAGGTATCCAAAACATTTGCTTTTGCATTTTAAAGGAACAGTGAGTTTAAGAATATATAGAAATATGGTGTTTGATTAAGTCCCTCCAACCCCTTGGCTTTACTCCTCGCATAAAAAAAGAAAACAGTATAGCGAAATTGTGATTAACAACAACAACAAAATAAGGGAAAGCTATGCTAAAGGCCTAAGTAACACTTAAAAGTATAAATAAAAATATGGCTAAACTCACTTTGGTTTGCACACGCACTACTGATCGACCCAAAGGCTAAAGATGGGTACAATCATGGAAATATAACAAATGGTTGATGGTAGTATCATTCTACACTCTGAACTAAAGTTGCAAGTATAAAAACGCTGGTTAAAATTTTTTGCCAGCATTGGAAAACGAGCTAGAAAACGAGCTGGCAGTTGCTACGTATTTTCCATACGGAGACCGTACCAAATGGCTTTGGGGTCACTATAACCTAACTTATGAAGAAGGCGATAATCAATTTATAATAACTACTGTTACGACGTTTTTGCGCTAAGTAAACGATGGATTCACGAAAAAACATCACGTTTCAAAACCAACAAAGACAAACCTGGTTCACAAGAGAAACTCCCTCCTTTTCTCCATCAGTTTCAACCTGTTTCCTATTCTTGTTATCATCACTTTGAAGTATTGCTTCACCTCTTAACTCCTCCAAGACCCAGTCACGGTTAACTGGAATATCAGTATACATCCTTTCCGTCACCAACTGTGCCACATCTTTCGAACATCCCAGCAATCCTTGTTTTCTCTCATCGATAGGTTGCCAATTCCTGACTTCATCAACGTCCAACTGAAATTTTGAAGGATCCACTTCAATTCCATCAGTACTTTTCTCTTTTGGATTAAATGGTAGACCAATGATAGACTTCTTTAAACTTGTTTTTCCTGCCCGATCCTGCCCAATAAGCAATACTCGACCACGGTAAACATTAACAGCTCCATCTTTAAGAGCACTTTTCCGTAATGATGTTTCGACGCAACCGTGGGACGATATCAAAGAACTGTACGACCCCAATGACATGTGGAAAAAATGGAAAGAATTATTCCTAAGTGTTTGTGATAAGCACGCCCCTGTGAAAACTAAACGCACCCGTCCCACCAAGTCTCCTTGGATTACCACAAATTTGAAAAAACGAATGAATTTCAGAAACCGGCTAAAGAAAAAAGCTGTTAAAACTAAGGATGCGTCCTCTTGGAATCGATTCCGGAAGGTCAAAAATAAAGTAAATCAGGAAATCAAGGCTGCTAAAAAGGCCTATTATAATAATTCTTTTAATAATTATGCCGGTGATCAACGTAAGACCTGGAAGACCATCAATGAATTGACTTCCCGCAAATCTAATAAAACAATAATAAATGAAATTCAATATCAGGGACTAAAATCGAGCAATCAAGCAGAAGTTGCTGAATTGTTGAACACTTTCTTCATTGAGATTGGACCAAGGCTTAGTCGAAATGTTTCGAATGTTGATACCACCTACAAAGAGTTTCTTTGTGGAACTTCTAAGGAGTTTGTCTTCAAGGAAATAACATCTGCTCATATTTATTCTCTCCTTTCAAAACTTTGTAAATCAAAGGCCACTGGATTAGATAGTATATCAGCTAAATTATTAAGGGAGTGCCCTGATCTAATTGCCGAGTCTCTTACTTTAATATTTAATCAATCACTGTTGACAGGAATTTTTCCCGATGAGTGGAAGTCGGCTAGGGTTACTCCATTGTATAAAAATTCTGGTAAACGAAATGATCCCACCAATTATCGACCAATATCGGTGATCCCAGTCGTGGCCAAAGTATTTGAACGGGTAGTCTACGACCAGTTGTATCACTATCTTACTGAGAATCGTATTCTATCCCGTTACCAATCTGGTTTTCGTTCTTTACATTCTACTGTAACCGCATTACTCGAAGCTACCGATAGCTGGGCAGTGAACGTTGATCGTGGCCTTGTCAATGCCGTTGTCTTCTTAGACTTAAAAAAGGCTTTCGACACAGTTGATCATCATATCTTATTAACGAAATTACAATATTATGGATTACGCGGTTCCTGTCACGAATGGTTTACTTCGTATTTAAACAATCGTACCCAAACTTGCCAAATTAATTGCTCAATGTCAAACCCAAAATTAGTTACATGTGGTGTTCCCCAGGGAACAATTCTTGGACCTTTATTGTTTTTACTGTATATTAATGACCTACCTAATTGCTTGCATTTTTCACAACCTAGAATGTATGCCGATGACACCAGCCTAACCTATGCCAGCGCAGATTTAAAACTCATAAATGACTGCGTTAACGACGATTTAAACAAGGTGTATATATGGCTATCGGCTAACAAACTGACCCTTAACTTGACTAAAACTGAGTTTATGTTAGTTGGGTCGAGGCAGAAGCTATCAAAGCTTTCTGAAACTCCTTCTTTTATGATAAACGACCATCCCGTGATGCAAGTGTCAACGGCAAAATCTCTTGGAGTGCATATTGACCAAAACTTAAGCTGGGAATGCCACATACAGAGTATTTGTAAAAAGATTGCTTCTGCTTTGGGTGCAATTAAAAGAATACGACATCTTATTCCTTTTAATGTATTAATTAATGTTTACGACAGTTTAATTCAACCGCATTTTGATTACTGTAATGTCGTATGGAGCAACTGCGGCATTGGTCTTTCCGATAAGCTGCAGAGGCTCCAAAATCGTGCAGCCCGTATTCTAATGTCCGCTAATTCTGATTGTAATGTGGACGATTTGTTCCTGGCACTGGGTTGGCGTAAGCTTAAACACCAAAGACAAGTATCGACGGCTATTATGATGTATAAAACCGTACATGGGATGACTCCCGACTATCTAACATCTAAATTTGTATCTCGTGACGAAATAACTTCTTATCGATTGAGGAATACTGAAAATAAATTAGTCCTTCCACTGCCCCGTACCAATTATTTAAAGAAAAGTTTCTCCTATAGCGGAGCTAAGCTGTGGAACAGCCTATCCCATGATTTAAGATCTGCAGATTCTTTACATGATTTTAAACGCAAACTGTGTCGCAACAGTTTTGAATGAGATCATACATTAATACAGTTTTACACGGCATCCTTGAAAAGCAGCTTTTATTTGTAAATAGCTAGGTAGTTAAAATTTTATGAATATATTTTTAATCAGAGTTAGTTTAGTTAGGTATAATAGACCTTAGATTTTTTTTTTTTTTTTTGTACATGCTGAAGGAACCTTAACCGTGTTTAAATAAAGTTATCTATCTATCTATCTATCTACTTTGATAAGCGAGCTGCGCTTCTTTTCTTCCTGCTTCTATTTCTAAAGGAGCTAGTGAAAAAAAAAAGAAACCGAATGCTTATTATACTATACGTAATGTCTTAGAGGTTGCCCAGTTCATTGGCTTATATTTTACTTGACGGACCTAGGAGGGTCATGGGGGGCTACATCAGTGTTTATTGTCCTTCTTGTGATCTTTCAGTACAGTCTCTTAAGTTATTAAAACAAATCTATGGTAAACATAATTTTACTGAATTTCAGTCCTTCGTGCTTCATTGCTAGCGTCACTATTATACAGAGGGAAATTTTCGCTCTAAAAATGTTACTTCAGTGAGTATAACATATTCATGAATTTCCACAAAGTGAAAAGGATAAGCTTATTCGTTTGCTTTTCGCTTTAAATTCCTTTCTTTAGGCTTCGGAGCTTTTCCTGCGAGTGATGGGCTCGTGGCAATATGATGATTAACTAGTATCTGCCGCAATCTCACATCCTGCTTCTTGACGTGATCAAAATGCTGCGACTGCGTGTTGAACTCGGAATGGATTCCTTCGATCCCTTGTTCACTGTAGAATCCAAGGCCCATGTGCCATTGTCGTAGAAATGGACAAACATGGTCTTCTAGCATATGAAGCTTTGGTGTGATTGCTATGCCAGGGAGGTTTTCTCTGATAAACTTCAGGAACTTTTTTATGTGTGCATCTAGAAAAGGTGAATGAGACTTAACTTACTGAGCAGATACAGAACAACGCATGTGATGTACATTTTTATTGTCTTTGTTACAAAAAACCTCAGTTTGTTATTTCACCTACCTAGCTGGTCGATCTTCTCATCATCAAGGTATTCTGCACTATCATAAACAAAATGGCAAGCAGCAAATAATTTGAAGGCTTGTTCAAACTTGACACTAATTTCTCTTGCCTTAGAAAGCAAGGAAGGACACAGCTCTTCTGTTTTTGCCACTACAGCACTGCATAATTTATTGATATTGGTTGCCTAAAGAAAAAGACAGCAACAAATATTGTATTATTAATGGCAGTTCATGTGTTTGCTTCTTTGTAGTTTTCATCTCTTATTTAAGTTTGAATGTATGTTACCTTGCAGCAGGTGTGCACGTGGTTACCAATGAATGATTTTCCATGGTAGGCCTGTCGCTCAACATTCATTTCCTTCAGGACCACGTCCAAATGCCTTGTTAGCGGTCCATCAGATCGATCAAAGCCCGCCAGTTCTATCTGCTCATCTGCAAGTTTATCCTGTAGTTCAATGTAAAGAGAACATAATTACATTGTTCAGAATGTGGATCTTCATGGTCTAAAACAGCTTCATCAGAACAATCACTTAAAAAAGGTTATAGATTTTGGTCTGTTTGATGAAGTTAGTCACGTGAACATTCTTGATATTATAGTATATACTGTTTTGTTACCTCTTCCTTTGCATCTTTAAGGAGTCTGTCAATTTCATTTTGCATTGACGTGAAGAAGGCAGGCATAATGGTCACATCAGAATGCAAACTCTGTAAATTCAATAATTCCTGTAAAGAATTTGCTTTCTCATGCAACTGTTGTGCCTGACTATAGTGTTGATGAGCGGCTCTGAGTGCCAGGATTCTTTCATCATTTCGGTCACTGTCAGCCGCCAGCTCCATTTGAATTCTTTTGTCCAGCTCAGCACACTGGTTCTCAAGTTCGTCAAATAGTTTCTTGAAAACACCCAAGCTGATGTGAAGTCCAGGAACACAAACCTAAAGAAAGAATCAGATTGTTAAGCTTCCTAGTTAATGCCCTGTTACGTTAGTATTTGTTTTTCCTAAGCCAAAAACTATGTTGATAGTATACTTACTTTTTCCAGTTCAATGTCCAGCAGTTTCTCATGGATCACATTGTGATAAAACTTCTGTCGACTTGTGACACAGCCATCTGCAACAAACTTGTTATAATCTTCTTCAATGTTCTTAAGATTTCTCTTTTCTATGTGCCCACGACGGGGATCCTGGCAAGAGAGTTGCATCATCTCGTATGTTATCAGACACCAGAGGCATGGATACTTGCCTGCAAGAAATGAATTCACACTTATGAATACTCCTTCCATAGAGAGTGTTTTAAAGCTACAACTTAGGATAATTTAGGTGCTACTCTTATTTAACAATATAAATCAAATATTTTTTTGTTTTGTTTTGTATGTGTGAATTATTAGTTGAACTTACCTGAGGCTCCAGCTGTACCAAATATCTTGCACAAAAACTCGTAGTCCCCAAAGAGGAAAACTATTTGCTTTTTGCCTCTAAAAATAAGTAAAAAAAATTATTGCAGAATTTCAGCAGGATACCTCACTCAGTGTGGAGGTTTAATCCTGTATGGTTTATAAGGAATCTATGGTACATTTAGAGTGTATGTACCAACCTCCAAGTAGCTTCCTTTAGGATGTTTACTTGCTCCCTGTATTTCATTAATGCTGTTTTTAAATTTGTCCATGTATCTTTGGCGTGGAACATGGCAAAGACCACTGTATTTGTTTTTGAGTTTGGATGTTGAAGGTTGGCAATCTGGAAAGCCATTTTAAAGGACCCACCACCAGCATCACCTCCAAGTTTTAAGTGGACTTCCTGTTCTGGGATGGCATTATTCCACGTCAAGCGTCCGTTCCTAAAATAAAGAGTCTGTTGTTTAATTAAAAGCGATAATTCTTGTAAGAGGCAGTGCCAAAAGCCTACTTTACATTTACAATGATTGACATTGCTGCTACAGTAACATTCATAACAGTATATAAAGCCAAAGAATTATACTTTTCATTTTCATCCAAATGAAGTTGTACAAATTGGTTAACGTCAGCAACATAACCAAACTCTGCTTGTTTGATCTCAGGGTTGCAGCCTGGTTTTTTGAACTCAAAAGGCACCATCTCACACACCAAGTTGTTAGGGTCAGTGATGGACTGAACTTGCTTCCGCTGGTGTTTCTCACTCTCAGAGGACAGTCCCCATTGATCAAACCACCTGCAGGGAGACAATTCAGGACAATATTATTATAATGTATAAAACTAGGTGGAAATTGACTTTGTTATTACTTATTGTTGCTACATTATTTTACATTCAATTGGAATGTTATGTAGTTTACACAGGTCAAAGGAATTCAGGAAATAATCAAATAATAGGAGACAAAAAATAATTTTTACTCAAATGTTGTGTGGATTTCTGGGGGCTGTGTTCATTATTTAAATCTTACCTCCTAAGCTTCCTAACTTTGTACCATGTTTCTCCAAGGTCTGCCTTCATTGCAAGTATGTCACCCCTGGGGATGGTTATTTTAAATTCTTTTCCCAAGGCTTCCTTCAGCAGTGCTTCTCTCTCCAGTCTACCCATTGCTTTCAATTCATCCACCAACTGGGTCCCTGCAGCACCACCACTTACAGCTGTTCTGGTCTCTGCTACTGCCTTTGATCTTTGTCTAACGGTTTTTTTTGTCACCTCATCAGTTGTTTTCCTGGCCCTGGTTCTTTTAACCAATTCCAGTGGCTGAAAATTCACATAATAATCATGTTGTTCATGCCATGTTTTGAAATGTAGTGTCATTAAGAAAACAAAAATGAAGATATATCATTCTACATGTAAAACATCTCTACCTGGCCACCTGTTTTTAGGAGAATGGTTGTCCCATCCTGAGACTGTGAGAGGAACTGACGAATGATAAACAATCCAACTTCTTTTTTAAGTGATCTGTATACTTCCTGTGGGCTATGTAGTAGTTGTTGTACTGTCAGTTGCTCTGCATAGGTAGTAGCAGGACCAGGTTCTGTAAGTTGTGTGCTGGTGCAGGTACACGTTCAGCTACTGCAGGTGCTGCTGCAAGTGCTGGTGGGGGTGTCACTGGGGGAGGAGGTGGTGGTGTAACTGAAACTGCTCCTTGTACAGGGGTTTCATTTTCTGTGGGTGTTGTCACAGGGTTTGGTATGCAACTTTCTTGATGCTGTGGCAGCTGGTGTAGTTTAAAGTGTGCGTACATGTAGAGCATTGAAAATCTAGTTCTGATAGTATAGTTCGTAGAACAAAAGGAGCTGGTTCAATGAACTCCTGAGGATTTTCAATTGCAGTTCTGCAAACTGGGCAGAGGGATCCACATGTCTCAAAGGCAAATGAAAGGCAGCTGGCACAAAATATGTGGGGGGTTTGGCATTTTGTTTGGACGGGTTGGTCAAGGACTTCTTTGCATATTGGACACATGTACTCATGCTTAATGTTCTCAACAAACTGTTCTGGGTAAAGGGGTTCCGTCCCTCGATAGCTTTTTAGATTTTTTACGTCCTCAGAGAAAGAGAGCGTGTTCGGGTCTGGTTGAAAGCTTAATGTGCCAGACATTCCTTCAACCATTTCAATCTGTTCCTTTGATCCAGGGTCATGTTTAGGCTTCACTCCAGGTTTGGGTTTTCTTTTTCTTCCAGGCTTTTGTTCGTCCTTGTAGGAACTGCATATAACACAATTGCCAGATCGCTTGTGTGGAGGCCAAGCATTTATTGCAAAACGTGTGCCTCCTCTTGAAGCAAGCTTGTAGCACTTGTGGCAGAATTTAGGAGGGCATTTGTCGAGGTCGTCTCCTCGAATCTTTACACCAAAGGCCGTAAAAATAATCTCTCTCTTATCTGCACAAAGAAAACTGTTCTCGTACTTATCTTTGGCCTTCTTCAACCGCTCCCCACAAATTCGGCAAAGCTTCTCCAATATTCGTTGATGTTCAGAAAGACCAAAGTTTGCCATTTGATTGAACTTAACTGACCGCAATTTACTCGAATTCTAAAAGCTATCTATCGATACAGTGAATGAAATTGACAAAAGGTATGTTTCGAACATCGTTTTATTTATTCACAGGCCGTTTTAAGTTTCATTCAGGAAAAGGTGTGTGTTTATCTTTCACTTCTTCGGGGGAATGGTGCATACTAGTTTTATTACGTGCTTCTCGCTCGAAATGGAGGGCATCACGTACGGGGGAGAAAATACTATCACTCGATGATTGTAATAAAACCAGTGACTGGTAAAAACACAAAGACAAGATCAATTATGGGCAAATATAATAAAAGTGTCAAGAAATCTTTTTACACACACGATCGTGATCGAAATAGCTGACGGAAAGATACAACTATGCGTGGTTTCGCAATTTCCCGCTACAGATGACTTACAGTTATTGGGAAGGGAGGAATCAACTGATACACTCGGTGCGAATTTCATTCGATCGAAGGAGCGCTACTTCTTTACAGCAGTGTTATAATTTCGTGCACGTTTCTATAATTTACTTTGGCGTACACAAATTTATATTTCGAAGTGGGATTCACACTGTTCTGGGGAAAATATTACGAAGCAACGGGTAAATAAACGCCATCTTGACCGTTTCGATGGGGAAGTGCGATCGGTGATAACACCGGTCAAATCGGATTAAAACGCCATAGCATAGAAATGAACATCAAAAGATAGAGCTACAACCAGAGACGTATCATTATAACGGGAAAAATTCGAATAAACTCAAAAAACGTATCTTTATTTAACAAGACCTGGACGAGGCCACAAATCACTTCGCGCGACAACAGGGCGCTTGCAAGCCGCCTTTCCATATCTCTTCCTCTCCATTTGACCTTTCCAGCTCAAACATTGATCATAGAAGCCGAAAATAGTAACTGCGCATAAAATATTAATTTCTACACGCTAGGCGCATATACTTTTTGCATGTAGGTTGTCTGTGGGCTCTGAATTATTGAGCCGTTTTTCTGAGGCTATCAGCGGTTTCAAACATAAAAAGTCAATTTGACATGCGTGAACTAAATTTCCACTCGCGCGCCTTTTGAAACAGCCGTGGGATTGTCCTAAAAAAAATTGGGGGGCGTACCTGTGCTTAAATTTCTCTACAGGCTTGCTTTAGATTTTCCATATATTTGTCTGTAATTTTCCCGGGACTTTCTTACAGACAGATGTATAGAAAATTTAAAAAAGTGGTTCTAGGTCTTCTAGTATATGTAACGCCCTCAATTTTTTTCAGGAGAATCCTTAGGAGTGAAGCTTTAGTTTAGGAATCATATTTTTTTTCAGAACAGCCGTTCTACGGAAATTATTCGATTCTCATACAATCACTGTAATTTCTTACGCGTTTGCCTACTCGTCAAGATGGCGTCGAAAACCGTCACAAGGTCTATTAATATGTACAAGAAACTTACCATTGATTTTGTAACTACAGTTTGTAACATATCTTAATGATTTATCAAACCCTCAGGTTCGCGAAACCCCCGATAACTGAAAAAAAAAAGACTTTTCTTTCCCTGGCAAATAGTGGAATTTTATCTCGGTTTTTTCCGAACTTCCAAATAACTACAATATCCGCTGTGCTTACCTGCAACACCATATACACGTACTCCATTCTTCCTTAACTTCAAGGCTCGTCTTATTGCGTCAACAGTTAAAGGATTATGACCCACACTCAGCTCCCTCAGCTCCCTGAGGTCACTAATCTCAGCAGGTAGTTCAGTTAGTTTATTTACATTCAAGTCCAGCCCTTCAAGCTTGGTCAGCCTCTGTATACTGGTAGGTAAACCAACCAACTGGTTGTTACTCACACTCAGCACCCTCAGCTCCCTGAGGTCACTAATCTCAGCAGGTAGTTCAGTTAGTTTATTTCCATCCAAGTGCAGACTTTCAAGCTTGGCCAGCCTCTGTATACTGGTAGGTAAACCAACCAGCTGGTTGTTTCTCACACTCAGCACCCTCAGTTCCCGGAGGTCACCAATCTCAGCAGGTAGTTCAGTTAGTTTATTTCCATACAAGTGCAGCAATAGAAGCTCCCTGAGGACACCAATCTCAGAAGGTAGTTCAGTTAGTTTATTTCCATCCGACTGCAGATATTGAAGCTCGGTTAGCCTCTGTATACTGGTAGGTAAACCAACCAATTGGTTGTTATTCACACTCAGCCACCTCAGCTCCCTGAGGTCACCAATCTCAGCAGGTAGTTCAGTGATTTTGTTGTTATCCAATTCAAGCACAATAAGATTTTTCAGCTTGCTGATACTTGCTGGTAATTTAATCAAGTTATTTTTTTCCAGCACAAGTTTAAATTTCTCTATTTCACTCAGTTCAGCTGTGACTGCATCAGGCACCCTGGATAGTCCTTTCTCTTTCAGATCCAAAACTGCTAATCCATCTTCATATTTTAAGTAAGCTTTCAATTTTGTATTGGAATAATGCTCCATGTTTCAAATTGTTAATAAAAAGTCTCGACAGTTCTTCTTACCATCTAGAAATAACAAAAAAAAAATAGTAACCTAGTATAGAAAAATCAAAATCATATCATCAATATAGGTGAATGTTACAGAATTAAAATAAAAGAAATCTAGAACAGATGCTGTTCGTGTATTCAAAAAATCTTTTATTAGTAGACTAGGGTATCTAAAAGATAGTAATGCTGCGGCAAATTCTGTTGATAATGTCATTAGTTAGGCAGCGATCCATCTACTTGCATGCGACTTAAAAGAATCGAAAATGACAATAAATTGCTCGCGTATAAAGCTTAAGGGTTTCTTTTCTGCTTTTAAGTAGCTACCATTTTCTTCCAAGTGTCTCCTCTTTCTCATTTCAATTCAGTCTAAACTATTGTTGATGACCATTAAAAATGCAAAGATTGAGTCAGGTCATCTTAGGGAGGTGGTCACTTATTGAATCGAACAACAGTGGGTACCTTCCTAGAAGATTGAGATCCCAACACATCTACATTTTGGAACAGAATTCATCGCATGCAATTTCTAATCTGCAATATGTCTATAGTTTCATGGTGTCACTAAACGATTTTCACATACTTTGAGTAGTGTACTGCATACAACAAATAACAAAAAAATAACTGACTATGATACAAGGAAAACAAATGATGTCATTATTGTGTACTGCTCAGACAGACTGTTTGGAATAAAGGCCTTAAGAAACACTGATTCCCAATTGTGGCTACGTATGGGACGTGTATTATGGGTAGGTGAACATGTTTGTGATCAGGTACATGTAATATAATAATTATATTACATCATAAGGTGACAAATGATTTGATTTCTGCAGATCTGGAAATATTCCCAGGAGGGGCCCCGGGGGTGGTTAATTGATTTGCACTGGCAGGCAATGGAGATGCCGATTGGTCGGAAAGACTTATTTGAGGGGGAGACACTTATTTGAAGGGGTCGCTTATTTCATTTTTTAGTATTTCAGCCTCAAGATAGCATTTGTCTTTCATACAGCCAAAATACTAAGCAATGAAACTACAACATATTTTTCAATAAATACCCAAGTGTGTTACGATCATGTTCTTAGCTTGGAACTGTCCATTACAGTCTAGGCAGGTCAAGCGTACCCCCCAGGATTCTATTAATGAATCAACTAATTATTTGAAAAATGAATCTGTTAGTCAATCCCATAACTGGTGTCAAATTTGAAGAGGCATTTCTGCATGCGTAATGAGCAGTGAATATTTTACAAGAACTCTGTATTTGGTCAGATTGAAAATCTTTGAATGTATTAAGTTTTTTAGAATGACATTTACATCAAATTCAGGAAAACTGAGCTGGTAGAAATTTCATAACTGCCTTGCATGTGAATTCACAGCTCAGTACGCATGCAAGAATGCGGAGACCAATCTGAAATCTACGACTATAGCAACAGACTCAACTTTGGAATAATAAATTCATTAATGGTTTCTTGGGGGGTACGCTTCACCTGGCTTGACTGTAACCAAATGCACTGTTTTTAGAGGGGCTGAGTCATTAACATCTGATCTTGTGATGTCCCCAAATAAGTTATTATCTTGCGATTGTAACTTTTTTTCTACCCTTTTGAAAGATAAAAGTCCAGTATACCATGTATTTAGTAAGGCAGGGTGTTAAAGGTGGTTGGGGAGGGCCGGAGGCTTAAAAGAACACCATCCCATTACTGCACATGTACCAAACTTAGATTTTCTGACAGGATGTTGAGAATTCAAAAGATCCACATAGTGTTATAGAACCTTCCAAACTCTTTGCATCGTGCTCGGTTGAGTTACACCACTAAACCTTCTCAAAACTACAGATAAATGTTCCCATTAACTTTTGATTTGAGTGAAATTGGGAGTTTTTAATGTTGCTTTCATTTAGATACAAGAAAGAAAAGGATGAGACAATGGATGCCACTGAAAAGATCTTGCAACGTCATGTTAGCAAAATTAAAAAACCTCCTTAACAAATACCGTATAACCAACTAAATTAACCAAACAGCTGGCCCTCGATGTACAGAAAAAAAAAGTGCAATGAAATCATAATAAATTATTATTTTTGACTAACTTTTGCAATGCCTTTGAACGTTTGAGGCTAGAACACAAGCAAATATTACTGGATTTATTTTGAACTTGCCATAAGTTGAGCTCTGACACAAGTTTCACACCAGAGAAGCTATAAAGCAAGCAGAACAAGCTTTTAAGGTTGCAATGCAGCCGAGCGAGTGAAAAAAATCACAAGAAATCTTTTTGTGCCATGCGCCATAGTTATTAAATAAAATGAAAGACTTTGTCAAAAGTGTAAAATATTACTTGAGATATGTAAGCAAAGGAACTCCGTTGGAGATGAAGTTCCAAGAAAATCTTGTTGCATCTGAGTGTGACAGTTCTGTTGTCTTTTTCAAGTAAAAACACAATGATTTTTGTGTGTGAACATAATCATGATAGTGTCCCTTTAGTATTTATTTTAATATTTGAAGCCTAAAAGAGTGAT